GTGCAATTATTCGATATTAATATTATATGCTTTCTTCTGGCTCAAATCATTCTATGGACTACGGAAAAAAACAGTTGTTAAAGAGAGGAAAATCTTGAGTAACATCTTGGTCCCTAAATGGTCTAGTAACAAAACTTTGGATAATAATCGAAACACTACTGCATGTGTTTAAAACCCAGATTTAATGTTTAAAAGTTTGAAATCGCATCGAAATATTATGACACTTGTGTTTATGCTGCTTATTCCGTGGCGCTTCGCTTGGTACGGTCCGTCCAGGTCTATGTATATTTACAATAACTAGCATCAGAGGTCTCTTTTCGGACAGGTCTATAATGTCGCTAAACAAGGACCGGACAGTGACAGAGGAAATAGGTTTTTCCTACCAATCTGTGTGTGCCTGTGTCCCGTGAAGGCTTGGGCAACTGATGATTCTCCTGACTCTGACAAATACCGGACTGTTCACTGTCGCTTTAGGAAGCCTCACAGGTGGGTTTCGGATTAAGTTTAATTTTCTGTTGACTCGTTTTAATTATCAAACAAGTCTTAAACTCGAACGTAGCACGGCCGTTAGGAGGCACTGAATTTCTTATTGTATTCCGCATTGAACACTTACCCTCATCGCTCATGATCACCTTTTGATGGGCCTCGGTCTGGCAGTGCTGCCGAAGCTCATTTCTCGTCAGGAAATTTATGGCGCAGTAGCTGCAAGTGGTCGAGGGCGCCGCCTGATCCCCGCCGGATGCCGCATCAAGGCTGGGTCCATCAGCCGACGCCGGCTGGTGCTTGCCTGCCGTGAGCTTCATGGCCGCCAACAGGTCGTTGGTCTTGTGCAGATTTGAGTTGGAACTGGAAATGGTGCTGCTGCTGCCAGTGCTGCTGTTGCTACTGCTGCTCGCATAGCTGCCACTGCCACTGCCCGTTCCATTTTGCTGCTGCTGATGTTGTTGCTGCTGCTGTTCGCGCTTCTTGAGACCCTTGTTGCTAAGCAGCTTGCTGTACTTGTCCAGGGGCAGGTTGTTGGTGGCCCAGTGATCCAGCTTGGTGTCCAGTATGGCCATTTCATCCTCCAGTCGGGCATGCGGTATCTTCTGAGCCTGGGCCTTGTGCTGACCATTCATAATCATCTGGATGATGGACTTGTAGCGCTCCAGGGTCTTGGATATGTCCGAGAATATTTGCTGGCCGCTCAGCTCGTTGATCCACTTGCTCAAAAAGATCTCGGCATCCTACAGGAAAACCAAAGTCATCAGATTGATAATATTTAGGTGAATATTGGCTGAATCCACACTGAACTTACCCCATACTTGTGCATCTTGAACAAAGCATGGACGAGCCAGCGACGCGCACGCGAGACACTGGCCAGGCACTCTGTCTGCTCAGCCAGAAGGGTGAGCACCTTGTAGGCATCGGCCAGGCAGCCCTCGTATTTGCCCAGCTCCAGCAGACACTCGCAGCGACCTAAGAGGCAAGCAATCTGCTGATCCTTCTGCACGCGCGTCGACTGTGCTGATCCTGGAGCTGCGGAAATCAGCTGATCGTAGAGTGCCGCAGCTCGGGCCCAGTTCCGTCTTCGGACCATGTCGTGGGCCAGCATCTCCTTTTCAGCAGCCATCGATTGTGGGAATCGTTTACTCGTTGGGGCTTTCACTTCTCTTCGATTGGTTATTCATGCATGTGTCGGGTCCTGCGTCTGATCCTTGTCTTGATTGCTCGTCTAAGTCCTATAATGATTCTGATGGTGAAATTTAGAATCTGCTTCAGACTGGACCTCTTTTATGACCATACTTACATAAGTTAATCCAAATCGATTAAGAAATCGATTCTTGGCTTCTACATTAGGGTTTTATATACTTTTTGGGCATTATGTTTACTGCAAAGGAAGCAGAGATCAATTAATATTCGAGTGTGCTGTGGAGATTTTTGGCGGCCGATCAAATTGTTTACGGCCCAGAGCACATCTGTGATCCTACAGAAGTGGCTGCACCAGAAACCAGAGCACATTCAAAAATCCAACGCGTTCTTATTTATATTTTTCATTTGCACAATTTTCATTTGTATTTTTCAGTTACGCAAAATATTTAAACGCCATTTTCACTCTCACCGGCGGCCACTCTGCGACACCGGAGACCCAGGGCCAGGCACACGTATAGTAAAGCACTCAAAAAACATTTGCAAGCATAATTTAAAGTAATGACAATTTTTTTATTTCCTGTGCGTGTGTGTAGTTTGATGATGTTCGATTTTCGGCTTTTTTTTGTAGTAAATGACGGCCGTCTGCGAATGCTTATTATTGAGTCCACAAATATGTACAAGAAATCCAATTGTAGTATTATTTAATGTTGTTTTTGCTGCTTTATATACACAGGTACGTGTGCATGTCGAGTGTGTGTACATGTTTTTTCTTCGTTGGCTGTCGCCTTCTCAGCTGCCAGCAGGTGTTTTTCCCGCATTTCGGTTCTTATGTTTAAAGTTTTTACTAGTTTATGTACTAGCGTAAAACCATAATTTATTTAGTTATTATTTTGCGCAAAAGCGGCGAATTTAGCGGATTTATTTTACCATTTGTGTCTTTACGTGCTGGGCACAGCAGACAGACCAAGTGTTGCCAAGCGCCGGAAGTACCGCATGAAAGTATCTCGCATGTGGCAAAAAAAGTTGGTTTGGGGATATATTATTAGATAATTCATTTCAATTACTTTGTAACAAATGAATAATTGTATCTTTAGTTTGGACGACTTTTAAAATTTGTTGCAATATTTTTACAAGATAATTGTGATATCTCGCCGCATTTTACAACACTGCAGGCGAATGGGTTTTTACAAAACAACACCATGATACTGTCATATAAAATTGCAACTTATATATGCACTACACATGCATAATGCACGGCGATGCAATTCACTTTTATCTGATTAGTCGGTTATTTGTATTGCACATTAATCATTACGCGTGGGCAGCACACAGCCCTTGCCATGCAAATAACGCAAGTCAGAAGCCAGCTGTCACATATCAACGGAACAGAATTTGTGTTCGATTTCCTGATGGTTTTCCAGACATTTTCGTTACCTTTGCACTTATTCTCAAAGATTATTCACTACTTCCTAATTATATGTTATTTTACATGGTTAAGCACAAAACTATAAGAGAAAATGCACATCACTTCGAAAATTGTTAAAAATAAGTTATGTATGTATGAGAGGCAGTGCTGCCATTTTAGCTTATTTATGGCTACATTGACCATCTTAAAAAATATTATAAATGACGCGTGAAAAAAATAGATGGTTACATTTTCTGCTCAATACGATGAAATGTGTTTTTTGGCTACATAATACGGAAACGTAAAGCCAATACGGTGCGATTAAGTAGAAAATGTTATGGATATCAGTTGTGCAGATCTATCTAAATTGCGTTTCATAAGCGAAACATACAGTAATGAAAGAAAGAATGCAAACATAAAAATACTAGGGAACGAGAAGGGACGTGTGAGACGCTTCTTACGCGTCACAACTTTTATACCCGGCACTCAGGACTACATCTAGATGTAGAAGACATCGCCAACCCCTAGATATCGTTCACATTACAGAACACGTAGTAAAAAGCCTACTAAATAAAATGCATCAAAAAAATTGGATTAGTTGATCGTATTTTCCAATTTATGAGATATTTAAAACATAAATAAAATTGGTACTTTTTCCCTGCACATTCTGTGCAATAATGACCGCTAGGTTTCACATCAGATTTTTCTATGAAAATTTCTTGTACGCAACTTTGATGGTCACTCTTTTTCTAATACAGAGCGTTAAAAAGCGTGTCTTGGTTTTAACTTTTAAAAATTAGCTTTTGGCCACTGTTTCCGCAACTCCTCGCAACCAGTTCAGAATCAAAATCTCGAAATAAAAAGCCAAGTGCTGCTGTTCGGCCGAGTCGGAATTCAAATCAATTTAATCTCGTCTTCTTTTCAATTTCGATATTCACATAAGCCCTTTGCGCTAATTTCGAGTAAACAGCCACCAAAACTGGTCATTGGGACAATATTGCATCTGCCCTCAGCGGTGTTTTGTCAAATTTTACATTTTTTCTTCATCTGTCATCTACATCTACAACACTTCTCACACAAACACGCTCCGTTAGCTCGCCGCCCTTCCCTAGACCAACATACTGCTGACTTGCGGCAGAAGCAGGGGCAGCGCCCTCACACAAAAAAAAAACAAATATAAGCTGCGGGACGGGGTGGGTTAAAAGTCGGTAGTCTAATTGGCGGGGGGTGGGCAGAGGCAGGGGCCGAGTGAAGCAGAAGCACAGTGTGAATGAGAGAATGTAAAAAGAGCAACAAAAGCTGCGGGACAGGGTGGGCTTAGCCACTGGAAATTAATTTCTCCATTGTGGCTATAATAATGATCCGATCGGATCCCAATTTGGTGATCTGATATATATGGCCATTTCCTACGGAATGGCGTTTTTAGTTTTCTTTTATCTGCAAAACTGTAGATTTGGGAGGTTTTCGCCCTTTTGCGGGGGCGGAAGGGGGCGTGGCTCATTTTTGAAATACACTGGTTTCAGTTGAGCATACAGTAGTCCGGAGCCAAAATTTGGTGGCTCTAGCTCTTATAGTCTCTGAGAACTAGCCGACGAACAAGACGGACAGACAGACATGGCTCTATCGACTCGGCTATTGATGCTGATCAAGAATATATATACTTTTTGGGGTCGGAAACGCTTCCTTCTGTGCGTTACATACAACCGTTATTCGCACAAATACCTATTTACTATTTATTTAAATACCTATTTACTCTTTGAGTACCGGGTATAAAAATATTTGATATATTTCTGCCGAGTCTAGCTTCTTCTAAATTATGACAGCACTGATGTGAGCTGATCGCAATCGATTCGCAATGTTGCAGCAGTGTTGGCAAGTGCAAGGAGATTAATGCTGCCCAGTAAATGCTTAACCCTTGAGAGCGCAATTCAAGTATCCTTTATTACAGTTGAGACGACCTTAATATAATTGTACATTGAACATTTATTAAAATTACAGTTATGATGCAAGTAAAATTGACGTAGAATAACATTTATGCGTTAACGAAAGAATTTCTTGGCGAACTTGATGACCTCCATAGCTAGTTTCAGTTCCCGTGCGCCACGGACGCCGAGAGCCTCAAGATCTTCCAGTGTCATTTGAATCAGAACTTCTATGTCGATTTCCTGGCGAGTGAACATCTCCGTAAGGTGCTCGTTGCCAGTGCGGTTCAGAAGCGAACGCACCCGCGGACTCAGAGTGGGATGCTCCACCGGGGAGCCATGCTTAAATCGCGAATAGGTACTGTCACGCCGACTCAGCGTGGGATATTTAACGGGGGAGCCGTGCTTAAACCGCGAATAGGTGGTGTCACTCAAGCCGGGTTCGCGCTTCACCTTAATAGTTGGGTTGCACGAAGCCGAGGAACTACTCCCTTTGCTGGTACTGAGACTACCACTTTTTACTCCATCCTCCAAAGAGCCACCGTTTGTTGTGCTCTGGGTATTGGGCGAGAAAACAGATCGCGTGTTCAAAAATGATTGCGAGAAACGTGTTGGCCCACCACTCGAATGACGAGATGTGTGTCTTCGTGGGACACTGAGGTGACTCGGCTTCAGGCCCGTGGTTTCATCGCTGGAGTGATCAGTGGTCTCAAACTTAAAGACCTGTGTGGACAGCGGAGTCAATGGCGTCAGCGGAGATCCGGGATCTGCGGAAAAGTATCAATAAAAATGGGCTGGTTTGTTTCCTAATCATTTTGACAATTACCTCTCCAGGCGCGATTGTATCGTTCCATCGTGGGGCCGCCTTTGATATTTAAGAACAATTTTAAATCGGAACAAACACTGACGCAAATTTAACTTTCTTATACACGAAAAAGAGGCCTAACTGTAATTTACAGTTTTTGGCGGATCACAGTGTGCCCGTGTTATTGATCGAAATATCCCTTATAATTTACAAAATCCACTTTTACTACGACCCTGTTTAGGTCACACCCCTTGTATTTTCAAATAATTATATTAGTAGTTTTGACTCTTATCATATTTCCAGTATTTAAAAAACGCGCTTTATGTCACCCTTTTGTCCAATGCAACAAGAGTCTATTAAAAAAATACTGATACATATAGTAAATACACTACCGATTTGGCAACCGTGCTGGGTGACCATTTACGGTATATTTTATACTTTTCGGTATATTTTGACGTTGAAATTGTGTGTACGGTATATCGGTATATATGGTATATTTCGACAATTGTTCGGTATGTAAGAAAGAAAGAAAACGAATGCAAATAAAGGCTTGTATTTCTGTGCTCATAATTAAAACGCAGCAAGAGTCGGAGAGTGACATAAAATAATAATAAAAAATAATAATAATAAAGTTACATAAAATAATAATTAAATTAAAACGCAGATTTTGGGTAAATTTTTTTTTAGCTAAAATGCTTACAATAATTGGTATTTCTCTTGCGCTCTTGTCTCAACAAGAACTCACTTAGTAGTTTCTCGTTTCGCTCAGAAATGAAAATGGGAGAGGACTTCAGCTTGTAACGGTAGCGGATTAAATTATTGTTTCAGAGTAAATAGTCTAGAAATATCAAAATCCAAAATATATACTTGTGGTATATTTCTGTGGGATAGAAATCCCTGAGCACAGAAGTGCTCGATTTTTAGTGCAAAAATTAGGAGAGAGACCTCACCTTTTATTCGAAAAAAATAGAGCATGATGTAGTTTTTCGAAAAATTTCGAATTTTTTCATTGGTTGAAAGTAAAAAGTCGGAAAAGTATTAAAAGTATATATTTTCGATACAGAATTTCAAAGTACTTGTCGGGAATGGAATGTAATAGGAAGAATCTTAAATATTAAGATCTTCAAGGCAAATGGCAATGTACGAACTTGATTTCTACTAATAAAATTGAGAGGGAAAATAATAGATACTGATTTTCTTTTAAAATTGAATTTTATTTAGTTATCTGTTATTGAATAATACAAGCTGCACAGCTGTAGGCATACGTATGGCTTTTGAGTAAGGTTGCAAACCGTAGTGTGTCGTATTTTGTTGCTGCGAAACTTGCCGCAATGACCGCAGTCTCCTGGGCACTGCTGCGCATAGACGAACACTGGCGCATCTTCGAATCCCTGAGGGAGTTTGATAAATCTTTGGAAGTAAAACGGTTGTCCGTCATGATCTTTGACAGAGTCAGAGTGCGCTGAGCAAGAAAAGTGCAAAGATGAATAGTTGTAGTTGGTGTTTTTCTTGCTGGCATGTGTGTCTGTGCTGCCCTCCGTCCTCGAGCCTGATGTTAGGCAGGGATTTGGCAAATGTTTCGTGCATGCATGGACCTCGCGCCTATTGGTCGCGTTGTCATTATTTCCCCCGCCTCAGAATCTGGCGCCTCAAGTACTCTATTTTCGATCGCCAGGGGTTCAGGTATTGGGGCCCTGGAAAAACAAATGTTCGTTCTATAGCTTTTCAAATTCAATATCAATTCAATATCGTATTCAATCACTTCCTCAGTTTCGTAGCCAGTAAGAGCTTCTTTTAAACTGCAAATATAGAATTAGTTCCTTAATACAACACACAAAACCAAATTAGAAATTACTTACCGCTTGTCCATTTTCACTTTTAACTGCACTTTTGTTTATTTTTACGGAACCGTGGTCACACGCATGGTAGAATTACTAATAGGTAACGTCATCAGCTGAGTGGAGGATCACCAGTTTATTCACCCAGCTCTCTCAGATCTCAGAGAGGCAAGCGCTAGAGAGAGATAGCAAACGTTTTACGTTTTGCACTCTTCGCTTTTATTGTTTCTGCTGACAGCAAAGAAAAGATGTTCGATAATAAAAAAAAAACGAAATAGTTAAAAAAAAAAAACATTTTAATAGATATATTATAATAAAATCTTAATATATTTCTTTTGACCAATTAGTCTTTGTTTCTGCTTTTGAATTTTAATTCTTCTATTTACATTTTTAATACGAAATTTTATCCGCATTTTAAAGAAGAATTGTTTGGTTTTTGTATCCAATTCAATGTTATTGGAACTTTTTATCATATCACGCGCTATCAAGTTGTTAGATATGTGAACTGCAATCAAGCAATTTGGCGTATATTTTCATTCCCTATTCACGAACGTCATCCCACTGTTTTAAATTTGGGGGTGCATCTAGAGAACGGTCAGAGAGTATATTTCACAGCGTCGAATGCCGCTCAACGTGCCAAAACACCTCCAGCGACAACACTGACCAGTTTCTTTGCGATTTTTCAAAGCGATCCGTTCGCACGAACTTTGCTTTACTCAGAAATGCCACGTTATTACACTTGGAACGCTACATGAGAAGCGACTTGATCGACTTACATTAGCATTAGCTGAACTTCCTGCACACCCCGGTTAACAGCGAAAGTGGGACATACGCCATTTCCAAAATGTTAACATGATTACAAATAAACCTCTCTTCACCTGGAACTTCTACCACCTTGTACCGTCGATCAGCAAATTTACGAAAGTCAAAGGCTTTCGGCCTCTAACAAAAAAAAAGTCTAACCCAAAAACAAGCGTCACTACAATTTCCCCCATACCAAAATCACACTTTAGGGGAACAACACCAAAAAGAAAAATAAGAATTTACAGTTTAAGGTCTTTTGCATGAAATTTCCCTAAAAATTTCCTTTGCCTTGTGTCTAATGAGATCAAACGAATATTTTTGGCTCACTTGTACCGTACGATCTCCTAACATCTGTAACTTCCTTAACAGCTTATAGCTGGCTCTGTCAACTACCATGTGCTGGGCAAAGGCAAGGCGATATGGAGTCGTATTTGTTGTGGAATGAACCGAGGAACGGAGGGCACAACAAACGCTACTGAGCTGCTCATCCCAATTCTTTTGATCAGGGCGAACATATGACTTTATGGCAGCTATAACTGAATGGTTCACTCGTTCCGATGCGTTGGCTTGCGGAGCGTACAACGCAGTATAAGTGTGTAATACTTTTAAAGTAGAGAGTTAAAAATCTCTGATCTGAACTGCACACCATTATCTATTGACTATTGACTATAGACTATTGTTTCCGGAACCCCGAAACAAATCTTCTTCCAGATATCGAGCTAGTATGTCAGCCGTACATTTTTTTACTGGCTTTAGGAAGGGGAACTTAGACAAGTGATCTACAACGATAAATATACCTATATGACCAGATCGAATTCGGGGATAAGGCCCAAGAAAATCTACATAAAGTTTTTGGAAAAACCTATCAGAGTGACCCGTGTTCCCTAACGGAGGTCGAAGTGTGCGGGTGGGATATTTTGTGCTCTTACACACAACACAACCGTTTATATACTGTGAAGGTTGCAGACCAAAAACAAAAGGTTAGAATGTCTGTTTGTTTTTGGGGAACAGTCTTCTAATTTTATCAAGAAAATATTGAACCTCCCCCACTGTACGCATTCCAGCGAGAGCCCACATGCAAGATCAGAAGCTGTTATCTTGAAAAGCTCTCTCTTTCGAAATTGCATGTGCGAGCACCGTTCACATGTGAGCTTTTCTCTCTGCAAACATAACTTACGGCTAGCCCTTCGAGAACCTTCTTAGCTCTCTCATACACAGCTTTTTGAGGGGTAAAATAGTTAGGCTAAGTGCATGCTGCACAGAACAAAAATTGCATTCAAGGTTGGAAGACTTAATTGATGTGCGTGTAGAAAATATACAAAAACAAAAAAAAAACGTGGTGAAAATTTTGCAAAACCATAAAAGGGAACATAAACCAAATAAAAACCAATATAAAAGTGTTGTGGCTGCAAAGACGAAAACTTAAAAACCAACCCCTGGATAAGGTACGCCAAGAAAAAAATGAAAAAGTGACCTTATTACATAATTCCATGTATGTACTGTACATAGGTTATGATCCACGTGTGGCAGGAAATTGCTGACCTGGCCTGACCCTCGGTCTCGGAGGGGGGGGTCCGCTCCAGTACCACGATCATCCGTCCCTCTTTTGGTGCCACCGGACCTTGGCTGCAGGCGAAAAAACGGATGGACTTGGCGATCGGGACCGAGTTGTTTATATACATATATCTCACGCGCAACTATTAAACCATCTATTATATTATATCACCGCGCCTTGTGTAAAGAAATGTTGGTGCTTGCATATGTAGGGTGTGGAAAAATTAGCTCAGCGGTCATTGCCCTTGCGGCTGACCATACACCTATGCGCACTTAAATAGACCCACCTGACCGTATGTCACCTATTCTCTCCTTCTCTCAGGTTATTAAAATTGTTCGATGCCGACATTCTAAAAGCCACTTAAGGGAAGAAAAGTGAATCACAAAAATCTAGAAAAGAAAACTTAATGAAAAATTATGGATAGAAGAAAAAAAATAGAAAAGAAAATTGTTCAATAATATTAAATATTCCTAGACATTAACTTAGAAATAGAAGAAGAAAAACATGAAATTTATGCGTAGTTAATAATAGATTCTAAAGGGTGCATCATCGGTCTCATTGTGTCCATGGAAGGGTATTGGTAAAATACCTCTTCATAACGCTTCTTGTTATTTTGCATATTTCTACATTTCTTTAACAGTTAGAACGTGAAATTGGGCCCAACGACACCAACAGCTGTTTAAAAGTCTGTAAGTAGACACACATATACACACATACACTCCGGGTCAGGAGAATAGCGTCTACACAGTGAGACATGCATGCTTAACCATATATAAAATGAATTATTATTAACTATAATCACTACAATTATGCCATTTAATTCATTTAATTAATTANCTATAAAACCATCTATTATATTATATCACCGCGCCTTGTGTAAAGAAATGTTGGTGCTTGCATATGTAGGGTGTGGAAAAATTAGCTCAGCGGTCATTGCCCTTGCGGCTGACCATACACCTATGCGCACTTAAATAGACCCACCTGACCGTATGTCACCTATTCTCTCCTTCTCTCAGGTTATTAAAATTGTTCGATGCCGACATTCTAAAAGCCACTTAAGGGAAGAAAAGTAAATCACAAAAATCTAGAAAAAAAAACTTAATGAAAAATTATGAATAGAAGA